GGGCCTTGCTCCCCCAGAGAGGCGGCAGCAGCTCCCCAATCCATCAGCAGCATTATTCACTCACGCCACCCCCAGCGGGGCTGAGAGACGCAGGGGAGAGGAGCCCCCCCAGGAGCTCTGGGCACAAGGGGGAAGTGTGGGCACAGGCACGCACTTCTGTCACACGGGCCACCTAGGGAAAGGCCACAGCCCAGGGTGGGGGACAGCCAGCTCCATCCCGAGGGTCCGGGAAAAGCTGGAGGAAGAACGTTCTCCCTGGGTACCTGCGGGAAGGATAGAGCATCCCAGGGAGAGAAAACACCCCGAAAAGGCTTAGGAGCATGGCCTCAGTGGCCAATGACCTGAGCCCCAGGGACATCCAAGGGTCACTCTTTGAGCGTCACTCTCTAAATGGAAAAGGCTTGCGAAGTCCTCCTCCTCTGTCCTGACTACGCCCCGCGTCCATCCGCCTGTACGGCTGGATTTCATGCATCTACAATGCTCTCTCCCATCCTGCACCCTCTCTCAGAGTCCCCACCACACCCGCCACACCCGCCAGACAGCCGCGGGGCCCCCACGGTCCAGCCCCCAGCTCACGCTGGTCTAGGCACTTGGTGATCGATATCAATGGGATGAATGAACGAGGAGGAACCGGCTGGGAGGGGACACAGGACCCTGTTTACAAACCATCCGGCGGGAGGGCAGGGAAGGGCAGGGCTGACCAAGCCAGGCCACCCCAGGGCCTGTGTCCAGGGACTCCTTCTTACCCACTGATTCCACACTAACCATGTGTCCAGAGCCAGGCCAGCCCTGAAGGGCCTGGGGGAAAACTGAATGCAGCTGTCAGACAGCGAGGCAGTGGCACGGAAGCGCTGACAGGCCTCTGTGGGTGAACACGCCTCTCTGACAGGGGCCCGAAGATGCTGGCTGCCCTGTGAACCGGAGGCCCGTGCGGTAGCAGCAGGTGTCTAAGAGGCGGGGAAGGGAGCTGACTCCCTCCCCCCGGCCCCACTCCACTGCAGCCCCAAAGCTTGCGCGGGAGCCTAAGCAGGACGCTGGCACGTGACCAACCCCATCAGCAGGGGGGGCTTCTGGTCAAGGTGAATGCCCCGAAACCCGTGAACCCTCACCCTGCGCCTGTGAGTCTCCTGGCTTCACCCCACAAGGAGAGTGGGGGAAAGGAAG